TCGACCTCCTAGAGTTTATCGACGCCATCGATGATGAATTCCAAGACTTGAGGCCCTCACCTGCGCAAAACCGCCGTCTACGAGCTTTGCTGAAGGACTTAACGAAGGTCAAGTCAGTGGCGAAGACATTGCAGGGCGCCGACGTGTCTATATTAGATGCGATAATCTGGCTTTCCCCAAGGCGAGCTCCGTTTTCTCTTTTTGTATTTTTTCAAAATGAAATTTCAAAAACATTTTTTGTGTGTTGCTACGCCCCGTGACGGTTAATTAGCTGCACTAAGCCACACATAGCCTGAGCGGTGGTAGCCTTCCGTGGGAAGAACCACGAGCGCCACACATACTCGTCCAAATAGCCATCGAGGGCACTCTTCGTCATACCTCGCATGACTTTGGTGTGGCGTTTGATGTGGATCTCCCACAGGTCTTCTATAGTGTTTGTATGTGTTCCAGTCTCTGGATCCACGTAGTGTTCTGAGTGGTTCACATACTTGTGCGTGTAGTTCAAGTCCTGAAGAGAAGGATGGTTGGCGAGCGTTCTGATGACCACAGAAGTCGTTGCTGTTCCGGCTGCCGTGGTCGATGCTCCTGCTGTTGCTGTGACTCTGCCGTCACCTGTACGTGCTCCTGTGGCTCCATCCCCATGCGACGCGGCTGCTGAAGCTCCTGGCTCAAGCCGCGCTTAGTCTTCCTTTCGGTAACGTATGTGGCGTACATGTCTGAGTAGATTGTTGTCCTTTACAAAACCCAAGTTAATTTGATACAGTGATGTATATGTCATTACGTACGGAGCATTCGAACGTACCCAGGCTTGATGAACTTGCGAATAACAAGAAATAGCTTCTTTTGGGTTCTATCCGCGTCAACACTTCGTCCAAACCATGTCCAGTAGTGCGGTCCACTCCACCAAAAAGCCAATAATCCGGGAAATGTCGCCCACGATTGTGTCTGCTCTTCTTTCTTAAGCTTGTTTCGTCAATTTCGACAATGTGGCCCACACCACCAATATACAAGTACAGTAACCATACACGTTAAGAGCGCCACAAACACATTTGAACAGAATATGAGCAGTACCTGAAATTGATCGCTAAGCAGCTGCTTTGAGCAGAGACATCGAAGGTAACCGTACCAGTCCTCCACTGTAGTCTCCGACACGTCCGCTATCTCCGCCGCGTTGGCGTGCGACGCTCGTATGCACCATGCATACAGTAGCCGTGCTGCTTTGGCTAGCGACGAGGTTGCTAGTTGGCGTTTTGCATCAAACGAGCATTAAAAAAATGATCAAACTGAATTGTTTGGTCTGCCCACTGTTTTTGGTAAACCAAACAATTTGGCTTTTTTCCGGGTTTTAATGATCCTACCTAACCCTACGTATAAAACCCGTTATATTTAGTTTTTGGAATGTGGCTTTGGTTTTTAAAAAATCGATTCCATTCCATTACCACAGTCGTTTAGCAAACTCCGGATATAAATATCCAGAGAACTTAAAACAATCTTGAAGTACTGTCTTGACTGTGATATGCCATGCTTACTACGCAGTGCCATTCGCGAACACTCAAAGAGCGAAACCAAGAAGCAAACTTTTTGTACTGCAGCCGCCGGTTTACAGCTTGGGGTTGGCAGAACTGTTTTCTCCACCACTCGCGTCTCCATCGCTGCACGCCTGAGCAACCGAGTTAAGAGACAAATTCCCCTCAGTCACACTTGCAGGTATGATATGAGCTCCTGCTTGAGCCTAAATCTGCAGGTGTGACAGAGATGCCGCTGCTAGCACATGGCTCAACCAGGAGGTGGAGCGATTGCGTACTGAAGATGTAAGCCGGAATTAGGTGCCATTGACTATTCGTCGATTCAAGGGTGTCTCGACACGAGGCCCGGCAGCATCGGTACTTCGGGCAGCATCTTGATTTACTGTAACACTTTACACTAGCACGTAGAGCGCTGACTGACGCTGGGTAGCAGTGTTTCCAGCAAATGCCATGAGTGGAGTAGCTGCATATTGCATTCCTCGTAATTGGTGCTGCCACAACATCCTTGGCGAATTGCCATGACTCCCACGCACTCCGGAAGAATTCACACGTGACAGACTAACTAAGTTCTGCCGTTTCGCCATCTTTCTGAGCCCACGAGTCCTGGGCGAAGCACTTTCCATGCAAGCTGTCGCCAGCGCATGCAACTCTTTTCTCGTGTCCTTGGGCTTTTAGGCGTGTTGCGCAGTCTGAGTACATCTCAGCTCCTCCTCCGGCTCCTTGACAACTGACTTCTTCATCTTCGTGAGTCAGCGGTACTGCTTTTGCTGCAGAGCGTTTTGGTGGTCGCGATGGCTGTTGCAGAACCGATGCAGGTCGTCTTTTGTTTTGACAGTTCGCGCCTGACTGCACTCTCCCAAATACTGGCACTTCTCAGCTAGCAGGTGAGGGCACGTCCTTCCACGACGACCTGGCTCCTTTGGCATCTTCTGTAAACTATGGTCAATAGCAATATCTTAGTCCGTGTCGACAACATATCACGTCTTAGCGTATTAGCACACACCTTGGAATGAGAGGAGAGGTGTAATTGGCTTGGCACCTCCTTTGATTGTCGCACTATTATTCCAAACGGCTGTAGTACAATCATACAAGTCTAATTTACATTAAACGATCATGGCATTCGTAGACACTCAATTTGTGAGGTCACTAGCCGTTTATGATCTCTTTCCCATTAGGTCGATTAAATATATCGATTAATTAAATAGGTGCAACAAATCTTGCGAAGCATGATACATCTATTCTAATTAGTTAGATTATCGTGCAGATGAGGACAGCTTTAGCTGGCTGAACAGCCTAACCAATTTTGTTAGAATTGCCGGACGCCGACTTTAATTCCTGAGTCCATTGTCCACCGATTTGGCTAAACGAACACCTCATGTTTGTACATTTTGTGACTGGCAGTCTTCAAAAAGTGTCCGAAGATGCGATGTGTGGTACATCAACTTTTGATTATGTTTTTTAAACACTTTAATTTTAAAAATTTCACTTCGACTGTCCAACAAAAATAACCTAACAAACAGTATAAGGCTACACGGAGGCTGGAATATTCTTCTTGCAAAGCTATTTTGTGTTCGCCCGCAAGAACGGCGCTAGTGCGTAAATATTCATTGACGCATCTCCAGCATCTGCGCGCACATTCGACGAGTCGTTACCGTGGCTTTTTCTAATACAAAAGCAATATAGAAATTTAAAAGGCGATCTTAATGAAACCAAGCCTTTAGCACATGTTGATAGTAGCTGTAAGGGGCAAGCTGTTCATGCAATGAAAACAATATTACTATACTAAACAAACCCTACACATTTTTTTCGGCACGAGTGTCCTAAATATTCAAAACTCTCCTAAAACAGGATTCTCTCAATTGGCTTGTGCAATGCGCGGCTCAAAGC